ATGGTGAAATTCCCAGCGGCTGCTACCTCTGCTTGCCTGTGCTCACACTCTCCCAACAATGCAGTGCACTTGCCCTGTGCATCACAGCACTCCAGCAGTAGATTTTAATTTGTGCTCCTTATGCAAATATACATAGTTTCGAGTTAGCAGCCACACACTAAGTAGGAATCACTTGGTGGATGCTAAACCCAGTACAGTCAGATCAAAAATGCCAGGACAGCTTCTGAAACCATGGGTAATCACTAGGTAAAGCTGGATACCAGCACTACCTGATTACATTAAGAGTGATCCTAGCAAAGGTCAAAACTCATTACCTTCACCAGAGCCACAATATTTCTTTGTACAAGTTCTCCTCTGTTTCTAGTGGTTTTATGATATTATTCCTACATATCTCATATAATAAACCAGACTGGATCAACTTAAAACTAAGTGGAAAGTTTTATGCCATCAGACATCCTCACTCGCATCATCTGAGAAGAGCAGAAGAAGGTCAATGGAATTTATTTTTTCCCCCAGTGGAAGATGCACCTTTGCACATCAAGCAATAAAGTTTACCCAGTTATTCTTGTCACTTGTTAGGTCAGCACTTCTCTCTTTGTAAAAATATTTGTAAACAAAACCAAATTAATCCAGGTCACAAGCTAGTAGTCAAAATACAATGTACCATGGCAAGGAGATGGTGAACAGCAGGAAAATTAAGAGAAAAATAGATAATTCTCTTTTAAAATAGAACTGCATGAGTAAAACGGCAGCACTTGAGCAGGAAAGCATCAGAAGCATGAGCGAGAACAGAGGACACCAGCTTCTGAAACTCTTTGCTATATTAGAATAGTCCTCTGGACTGAACTGTGGTTAAATCCATCCAGATATTTGCCGAGAGCCTGATATTTGTGTTAATTGGCAGTAAGACACTGAACAGTAAATTGTTGTCTTAAATCTAAATTAGCATTAGACAAAACACAAAAAATGTTGTCGTTTGAAAGCATGTAATTTTAATTAAAAGCCCCAAAATAATAGCTTTGGCAGTCCTGGATCCATTAAAAATAAATGCCGTCTCCTATCCTACACCATTAGCCTCATCTGCACATCCAGACAAGTTAATCTCTGTGCTTCCTGATCCTGCACCCTGCAGTCAGGGACCCCACACCAGCCATGAGCAACTTCTCATTCTTTCTCTGCTGTGAAATAACTACTCAGTGCCAAATCTGCTGGGGCAAGTTCTAAAGCCTCACTCACCACTTCGGCCCATTTTCTTTCCCAGCTTTCTGCTGCACCGCTGCACACACCCTTGTCTGTCACTCCTGGCTTTCACCTAGACACCAGTAGGTGTGCAAGGGTCACTAAGATAACTGTTCAGGCATTGGAGATCAAGGTTCAATTACTGTTTGCATTTCTGGTGCAAGTGACACAGAAGTTTGGGAAACAAAACACACTCCATTCAGGGGAACAGAGCTGACTGAATTACCTGTGGCACAAAAAACAAACAAAAGGACAAGTAGGAGAAAGTGCATTTCCAGTGAAGCCACTGTCACGCACCAGACTCTTTACCCTGTCACTGCATTTTGAAGCACCATACTTATTCTCATCTCCCATATTATCTTAAATCAGGCTCTATTGCATCAAAGACAGAAAAAATTATCTTTGTGGACCAGAGTACAGAAGTCAGGATATTTAGCTCTGCAGGAGCAGGGAGAGCAGCAGCAATGCCAAAGCCCTATTGGGATTCCTCACACAGATCACCCTGTCTCCAGCAATTTGAAGGCGGATGCTGCCATCTGTTGACAACTTCCCACTGCAATAATACTTAGGTATTTCTCTTAATGCATAGCAGGCGGATGGGACATTTTATCCTGTTCTTAAACAATAGCATACGGAGTAACAGCAATTGGCATCTGGAAATACAGATCATGTATCTGACAGAAGTGAGACCAGGCTGTACCCCACCAACTCTCTCCTACCTAATTCTGACTTAAGTGATTTTCACAACTTAATTTAGTTCCGACCCTGTTTTACCACCTGTGACTAGGACTACTGAAGCTTACCTCCTTGTGATCAGCTAAGCAGGCAAGAAGGGACTACAGGCAGTGCAGCATCACCATAACTATCCATACCGTAATACGACCAGCCTCTCAGGCAGTCAGCCGTGCTCACGCAGCCTTAGGTGTCCAGAGTTGTTGTAGCAAGCAGAAGCAGACCTCCAGCCAAATGGCGAAGACTTCTCTCGCCATCTAGACAGGTATGGCAGTGACACAGCCACTTCCAGACTCATTCAAAGTTAGACTGCAGAGTACCCAGGACAGTATCAGAGGTGAAGCTTGGTAACTAAGGGGTTTGCAGCACAGACGCTGCCCTCAGCTGTCACCCACCCTCCCAGTTTTCCCCACATGAAGATCAACTGCCTTTGCCATAGGGGACTCCAGTCAACTGTCACTAACATCCCTCTACTCCACAGGTACCAAACACTTTCTCTAAAGTAACACTTGGCCTTGATTGCAAGTTGTGACCTGTATTGCGTTTTCAGCTTTGTGCCATTTTCCCTATTCAATCCCTATTAACCCTTTTATTACCCAAAATCATAGTTAACTTTTACCTACAAACTGCTTTCCCAAGGCCAACCCCCTCAGCTCAGAAAACATCACTGAAGCATAAAAAAATAAGACTTTCAGATTTTAAACATGTCTGATAATAACCATTTCTGCAAACCCATTTTAAAAAGTTGTGTTATGGGGCATGCCATTGTCTTGTGTGTCAGCTCCCGAGTCCCACTTCAGAGGTTCCTTGGATCTCTGCCAGCAGCGATTGCCCAGGAGCAAAGCTCTCATCAGTGAGCTGCAAGCTCAGATATGATCTTATGAACTCACCAGCTGCATCAACTTCCCCATGAGGCAAGCCAGTGTGTAGTTACATGTGTTAGATATACTCTGGAAAAGGTGCATCCGCTGATGCATGCTTCCCTCCAAGTCATTCTTTTTACACTGGAGCTACAGAAGTCATTGGGCTGGCTCATGAAATAAGTTAACAGTCTATTCCCAACTAGTCCACCGAGACTATCACAAATTCTCTTACTTCAGAGGTCTCTGTGGTAGTAAAGGACATACACAAGAGGTAAACTGGTTCAGAAAAACTGATGCGTGTGTCCTGTACAATTGGTTTAAAACACCAATGTCTAACTAAGAGGGAACTTGAAGCCATAGTAAATTAATCTAAAGGAAGGCTTAAAGCATCACTGCCCTTCCATCAGGTATCAGAAATGTGTTCTATTCTGAACTGATAAAAAACAAGGCTTTATAAAAAGGAACAGTGGGATCTTGATACATCTACAGGGTTACTCTGAGCAAGAAATGCAAAAGCTCGCTCCTGTGTGTATCAGTGCTTAGTACTGCAGAATTATCTCCATTAAGGATATAAAAATGAAACCTGTAACAGAGTAACTTGACAATAAAAAAGGGGTCACAACAGACTTCTCTTGACTTTGTAACTAGTCTTTGTAATTCAGCATAAAGATCTTTATCATCAGGTAAGCAAATTTGTTACAAATCAAACCAAGAACCATACTGATCACATTTGAATGTTTTGATGCCATCTGCAATCTATACTTTGTGACATTAACCTGCATGTGACAGACAAAACAGGTAAAACTAGCCTTCTTTATTATTCCCCTGCTCTTCCCAGTCAAGCTGCAAGTCTCTGTTACAGGATACGAGTGCACACCACCAGAACAGTTACAGTAAGCACTCTGTCACAGCTCTGTTGCTAGCTTCTTGTTCCTCAGAGTAGAACCGGATGTTAGGCAAGACTGTGCTGTCTAGAGTCAAGACCTGTTTGCTCAGCAGGAAGCACCACCTTCCCCATTCCGCCATAAAAGTAATAGACTGAACTGAAACAGGTTACATAGTTATGAAGACTTTGTGCCTGAAGACAGTCACTTCCATCCCAAGGCTCTCTGAAAAGCTCCGTGATGAACCATCACCTCCAAGGCACAATACTTGTAACTCAAGAAGGAAAACTGTTTCCAATGGTTTCTATCAAAAGAACCACAAATTCAACAGCTGTTTTAAAGTGTGTTGAAACAGGCTTGCTACATTTCAATAGGGTCCTTCCTAATAAAGACTCTAAGCAAAGCAAAATAAAGCAAGGTATTTCCAACTGCTATGGAAAGGTCAATGCAATCAGCCCAGAAGCTTGCTTCCCATTCTCTACCATCTGCAAGTACCTCTCCGGCTGTAGTCACCTGCCCTCTGCTCTTCTTTGAAAGAAATCTGTTTTTTCTGTATTAAGTACATTAAGCTGTCATGCATAAAACAAAGACCAACAACTCATTCAATACTAAATATTCACCACCTGTAAGTTCAGATATCCTTATTTCCTCACTCCAAAACTTCAATGAAATCCCAGTTATATCTTCATGGCAACATGCAAAGCAGCTGCACAGCAACTACCCTACCCAAAACTTTCAAAGCAGAAATTTTAAGGGGGAAAAAAAAAAAAAAAAGTTATTCACCCCTCTACCTGTTACTCTTTTCACTGTAAGATGTGAAACAAATTTGTGATCTGAAATCAAACTTCAACCATCTTAATTAATTATTCCACAATCCCGTATCTCATAACCTTTTAAACCATAAACAGAAAATACCTTCTGGCAGCAAGACATCTTCTATTATTTAGCCAAAATTGGAACCTACAGTCATATAAATAAACGTGTGTCCTTAGCCACATGTAACACCAAAGAACAATCCTACTGCCTGATAGCTGAGCATGTAGTTTAACATCAGAGTTCCCCTGCTGACGTCATTCTGTATAGAGACCTGTAACTCATTCAAGTTGTAACTATTAAAAGTATGTTAGATCATTAACAGAAATAAAAAGTTGTGGACCAGAGATGGTGTGGAACCCAAACGCCATTTGCAGTAAAGACAGAGGACTACTGAAGAGCAGTCTGCTACAAGCACTATCACAGGTAGTGTTCGAGGTCATTAAAATACCGACTGGAAACACCACAGTCCATTTGAACAATTTATTAGTATCCTCTTTTTTTACAAGTTTTAGAAAAAGAATCCCAGGATTTTGCCTCCTGTGTGTTTTCGCCTAGCCTCCTCATGGTCCATGATGCCAGCTGAGGTTGTCAGTACAATGTACCTGTTAAGAAAGAACAAATGTTCAGCTTATCGTTTTGTTCTACGCTTGTGCAGAGCTGAGAGCGCTAACTTCATTCTGTATTACAACAGTAAGATCTGTATCTGTAAGAATGGGCCTAACGGAAGTAAGATCAGATTATCAGACAATGAAAAAGAAACTCCTCTCACAATTACAACTCTGCAGCACACAAAGGACATTTATAGGCTTCTGTTCTCCAAATATTTGCTAAGTCTCAGCAATAAGTTTTCTTGTGCTTTCCCACTGTAAAATCAGTTTAGCTGTTGTAGCAGTAGCAACTCTACAGTTTCTAGACAAAGTCTGCTTCTATTTTAAGCAGACATTTTTCTTCACAGGAGGCAGAGTTGCCATGGTGCCAGACAGCTCTTCAACTCTGAGCACTCTGTCTCTCAGTGTTTTGAACACAGTGCACTGATGCAGATGAGTATCTGGATGTGGACTGACAACTGAAGCAGCCTTAGTCCTTGTGAATGCCAAAATTTGGATTATCAGCACACTTCATCCACATAGCTTCATGTCTGAGAACCTCTTGTTACACCATTCCATAAATACTCTTAAAAATCTCAATATGACAACACATACTAGCAAGCTATAGATGTACAGCTAAAGCAAGCAACTTATCCCTGGAGCTTTAAGCACAGAAATGACAAGGAACCGTTAATCCTGCCTTTGACAGGACAGCCTGGCTGAGCCCCTGAAGACTATTACAGCTCTGTCATCCTGGTGCAAATTGTGTTGTAGAGGTTTCTTTAACATAGGCACGGAGTCTCTCAAAACTTAACATCTAGTCAATTTATACACAATCAGGAAATTTAAATTAAAGTAGTAGAATCTACTTCCATTGACCAGGTAACTTGCAAGGCTCCTCCCCCATCAATAAATGGCCACTAATAAAATCAAAATGAGTAAGAGCAAGTTCCCATTTTCCCAGTAAACTGCCGAAATGGTGAAACCAGGGTTTACCAAAGCCAAGCAAAAATAGGTCCTTGCTTAGTAGTGCCCCTTTAAAACTGGTTAAAAAAAGTATTGATATGGAAGATGGATTTTTAGACTGGTATCTACCTCCAGACTGATCAGAGAAGAGAGGTGTCAGGCAAGTCTAATTCAGGCAGTATGAAAGTATAATAAAGAACCCCAAATTTTTTACATACAACATGGCTTTAACTCTCTTCCATACTTACCCAAACTGACGTGAAGGCAGTAGGTTGTTCTGCCACTTTTCCAAATCCTTCAGCTGAACATCAAATCTGGGACTGATTACACCACACTATAAAACAGAATTCCATTACAAACTGAAGAACTTTATAAACTGGATTTGTACATTTGTCATTCCAATTCATTGGATGAAGGAATGTAGTAACTGCATTAAAATATTTTTGGCAGCAAAAGATTAGAGTACTAAGAAGCACACTCCATTACCTGTAGTAGGAAACGGTGCTTCCTCTCAGGTAAGTTGAGCCTCTCTCTCACACAGCTATTCAGCTGTTATTTCCTCAGCCTTGACTCCTCTTCCCTGCTTAAACAGAGTGACTTACACTGCTGCTGAAGCTAAACTAACAAATCAATGGCTAGACCTGGGCGAGCACAAAAGCATACTATAAACCACTGAAGATTATTAAGCATTCTATATAATCAAGAATCCTGCAGTTACTCAGGGATATTCTACTACTAATCATGATACACAGTTCGCAAAAAATACCTGTAGATTTTAAACAGGGAGAAATTAACATGCATAGAAGTTATCAAAGTTTTCAAGTTAATCACACTACTTACTGACCATGACCACTACTATCATCTTCAGTTACCTCACTTGCTCCAATTATCTTAATAAATATCCAAGTGCAAAACAGCAGCACACCTTCCTGCACTGATGGACATTTTTCTGAACGAACCAACCATTCCCTTATTGCAACCATTGAGAGAAATATCATAACCAGCTGCACCCCAGAAGGTCTGTTACAAAATCATCCCAGGAGAGTTCAAGGAACACTACACTCCATTCTGACATACATGATCTTTATTATAGATACATAACAATAGTCATTTGGGTGGTGTTGGAATTCCCTGCTTACTATGCTCAAGCAATTTTCAGCTGCAATATTTGTTCATCGTGGAGATAGCCCCGAACATATTTTGACCAAGTATTTTTTTCTATTTCTTCCCTAAAGAACCACCTCTCACTTAAATAGCTTAACTGGTAACAATAATGCACACCAAGTCATTGCAGAACTAGACAGCTCAGTATTTTGACACAAAAGCATTTTAAAAATTTCCAAAACACACATGAATACTTCATATGCCCCAGGAACTTAAAAAGCACTCACCAATCTAACATTCAACTTTCCCTCAACTGCAAACAAAGCCCATCTAACAGCAGCAGAAAGGCTTGTCTTCTCAACATTTACAGGTATTAAACATCAACCAGAAAGCAACTTGGTTCCTATCTCTTAAGACAAGTCCTCTAGATAGTTTAAACAACAAAGAAACCAAGAAATCACTAGGTAGACAGAAAGTCTTTAGAGAGAAACACACAGTACTTGCAATCAGCCTTCCCTGAAAATATGCCTTACATATTCAGAGTTTAAAATAAATGTAATTAGTCAACCATACCATTATGAACCTAGAAAAATTAACAAGCATTTGATAACTACTGATAATACCCACATTACTCTCATGTACATGGATTCAGTAAATACCACCCTCTTTACAAGTAGTTCTTTCAGAAATGGAGCAGACAAACATGAATAAAAGTCTCATTTAAACACCTTCTTAGAGAAACGAATTCACGAAAACAAATCCTACCTTGTTGAGTCTGCCTGTGAGATTGACAACAATCTTCCCAGCTCTGTGATCATCAATTATCTCAAATTCACCAATGTAACCTACAAAAGATTAGCAAAGAGACATCAAATATGTAATACTTAGCTACATTAATACGACTCAATTAACTATGCTGTACAAAACTAGTCCAAGCATCTTGATTTACTTTTAGTCAACAAAGCACCTGAACACAACAGCATCCACAGGAACCACGAGTGAGGAACAAGTCAGTGCTGTGCACTCCAGACTTACCGTGCTTCATCATCACAGTTAAAAACCGGACGATTACTTTGGAGCACGGCCTAATGAGCACTTGGCGTTTCCCACGTTTCTCTGCATTGTTGATGCTTTTGAGAGCATCGGCTAGAACATTCATGCGCACCATGGTGCCTGCGGGGAAGAGGAGAGGCAGTTATGTACACCAGCTTTTCAGCACAGAAATACTGAGCAGCAAACATTTTTTAAGGCTGGTTTTAGACCTCAAAGATCTAACACTGACAGAAAGTTACATTAAACCTTAAAAAACATTCTTAGGCTAAAAAGAGGATACACAACTATCACGACAAGTTAGGAAATCTGATGCATTTAAACTTAGCTTTATCAACATGCACAAAGATTTATAAAACTCCAGCTAGACAACATTTCGTCAGTGACACCTTTCCCAGGTGAGTTGCGTTGGACTTTAAAACGCAATTATGCAATACTAGTCCTGTTCAAAAACTAGGTTGTACATGGTATTAAATATAACAGATGCTGCTCAGCTTGCGTATCTGTAAAGAAACTGCAAGATGCAAGAACAACACAGCACTCCAAAAAGGAAACCGGACATCAACTCTTGCCTTCTCACGATAAAGACCAGAGCACCCGGCCCAGCCCGAGCCGTGGCACGGCCCGGGACTGTCACCCCACTTGCCAACAGACCCGGCGCCCTGCCCGCACCAGCCAGGACGCGGCTCCTGCCCGGGGCCACCGGGCCACCCTCGAGACGGCCAGCGGTCCCGCGGCACACGAGGGCTTTTACTACTCCGCCAAGGACGCCCAGGCGCAGGCCCGGGCAATTCCTGTCCAGGAGAGGAGCGCGGGCAGGCCCCTGGGCCCCCTCCCCTCCCGGGGCGCAGCCCACCGCCCGCTCCCCAAGCCCTCCGCCGCCTCCTCCCGGGCCTCACCGCACGGCTCTCACTCCCTGAAGTCCACAGACGCGGCGGCCCGGCTCCCCTGCGCCCTGCCCAGCCCAGCCTCCCACCGCTCCGGCCCGGCCGCCGCGCCAGCCGCCGCCCTCGGCTCCCGCCGCGCATCCCTGCGGAGAGCGGAGCCACAGGCAGGAGGGGGCCCCGCTCCACCCTCCGCTCCGGAGGCTCCGGAGTGCGTGAGGGGAGACGCCAGCAGCTCAAAACGGGCCGGGCCGGTCGGGCGCAGCCCCGCGGCCCCGGCGAGGCGGGCAGGGGCGGCGGCGGGGCCCGGATGCCGGCGGGAAGCGGCGGATGGCGGCCGGGACCCAGCGGCACCCCTCACTCACCGGCGCAGCAAGATGGCGGAAAAGGAAGAGGCCGGGCGCCCGCGCGGGATTATGGGAGGGCCATGGGCGCGGGGTGGCGCGCGACGCCCCGCAATAGCTCGCGAGGCTTGGCGCCCCAGGCCTGGACACCCCATTGGCCGGGAGCGACGCCGCTGACGGGGTTGCCATGGCGACCAGAGCGCTGCGCCTGTGGGTCCCACACAGCAACGGCGAGACAGCGCGGGAACCGTACGGCCTCCTGCGCGGGGGGAGTGCGTGCGTGCGTGGTGGTTTCCTTTTTTTTTAACAGGGCAGAACACAAGAGAAGAATTCGCGGCACGTCTGATTTCCACTGAAGTTTTAACGAGGCCGCGTACGCCAGGGAACGGCACAGCTACTCTCTACGGGGAAGTTAGAGGAAGCTGAAGGTCCGAGGTGACGCGCAGAGTTCCGACCCCACGCTAACTCAAAGTGGGAAGACGGCTGTCGGGGCTGCCACAGCAGATGTACAGTTCCCCAAAACTGGTGCCGGTGTGGGGGTAGAGGGGCTGCCACCAGCAGCTCTGCCCCACGGACTGTGTCACCACTGGTCCTCCCGCAGCAGCTCCATCACGAGTGTCACCGATCAGGTCCGGTTTGCCCACAGCCCACCACTTCTACCAGTGTTAATCAACCACAGATGACATTACAGCCTTTCCCCTCCGCAGCAGGAGCTGCGAGTGCACCGTCACAGCTGGTGGAAGTTTTACTATTTACAATGAGCTCTTTCAAACAAAAGGTGGTGTTCTGTTCAGAGGCTGCACACGGAACTACCGCATGGCACTAAAACAGCATTCCCAGCTCCTGTTCTTGATTGAAAGACACATTTACACAATTCTCTGTACATTCACAAAGAGCAAGTCTTACAGAAGTTTCTCTTTAGCCTGTATTTACCTATTCAACAGTTACAATAGACACTGGAGAGAGTTCATTTTAATAACAGTAAACTTATAAAAAGCATTAACACAGGTTTTAGCTTTTTAAAGAAAAAAATTCAGTTTTCAAAAAAAAAGAGGGAGAGGTCATAGAAAAGCACAAACAGTTCAGACAGGCTTATTTACAGAGAAGCAGCTAGCATATTCAAGGTGACTTTGATTACAGACAACATTCATAAAACCAAACCTGCTACATGGCTCCATAACAACAGCAGTGTTCAGAACAATCAGATGTTAAGGTAACACACACCTTAACTCATTTTCTACAGTCTCAGTGCAATGAGTTGAAATTCACACTACAGCTAAGTAACTGAACTACAAATTTATATATTCTAGACCCCTATTCAACATATAATCTGGTATATGCAGCTAAAAAAAGCAAACAGGTTCAGTGAGACAACGGGATCACCTTCTGCCCCGATTCTGGGTGTGCATCCGCAGCCATGAATCACTCTTACTCAGCCAACTGTCCTCCTTCCACATGCATCAGTAGTAACAAGCCTCCAAGAGGTGTAAGCTTTCAGAACTGCCTTTCATACTTGCTGTAGCCACAAATTAATGATCAGTGAAACTACCGCAGTCACAGAAATGCTATCACACTTTACAATTCTGCTGTTTCTCAAGTTGGGGTATTTATTTATGGGACCTCTTAGTTTGGTGAAGATACTTAATAAACTCTGTACATCAAAGGTCAGGATCTTTCATATAAGATCAGCTGCAGGCTGCAGAACCCTAGTCAGTACAGCAAGAGAGACACAAACCCACAGCAGTTGCTAGAGTGACATTTTCACTTCATTGGGGAGCCAATAAAAATAAAGCCACTGAGCAATACAACTTCTATTATCTTAATTATACATTAATTCTCAAAAAACTGTTCCCAAGGAAACCTTTTACAAGAGTGAATAGCAGTTAAGTCTTCATTCATTTTTCTTTTCCTTGTGCTTGAGAAGTTTGTTTATCTCCCTTTTCGCCATTCCAACATACTTTGTAATGATCCCATGCTGGTTTAGTCCAGGAAACAGCAACAAGAAACTTACTGGAATTAAAAAAAAAAAAAAGAATTATTTAATACTCCTTTAACAAGCTTCTGTCACCTCACAATTCCTTGCTTCCCTTAAGCCCCATTAACTGCTTGAAAACAGAAAAATATAATCCTGTGATAAAAAAAAAACCCACTAAGCATATAATCAAAAATTACTCCTACCAGCCTCACACCATTTCAGGCAGCTAACAAAAAAGTTACTCCTGTTTTGCATGCTGCACACTTACCAATAAGATAGGTCAGAAAGAGATTGTGAACTTGCTGTCCAATCCAGGCAACCACAGCAAGAGAAAAAAGCATGGTCATGAAGTACTAAAAAATGAAAAGTGACCAGTTATCACAGATCTGTTGGGAATTCTCCCCCTTCCCTTCAGTATCTGGCAACACTTCAACATTTAAAACTAACCTGAAGATTGCTGGTCCTTCCACATGCAATACCTATGCATAGCCTTGCTAAAATTGAGATTAGAGAGTCTACAATTGCATGTTTTAATTTACTTTCAGACCATCAGTTTTACAGGATGACAGTTCTTTTCTATCCCTTAGGCAGATTACACCATCCCCACTGTCACAACTTCAGCCTCAGACATACTTGCAGCTGTTTTGAGGACTCAGCAGTTCATGTACCTAAGATGACACATTACTAAAATCTAGTTTTTTGGACAGTTCGCGTACACCAGAAGCAAGTTTTATTTCCAAAAATTGACTTACCCAAAGGAGCCCAGTTTAGCTTTGCTTTAATATCAAGGGTATGCTCCTAACTGGACAGTATTGAGAGTTTAAAGTCATGTATCTTGCCACTCCAGGTTTGAACAAGATACATGACTGGTACTAAGTCACAGCCAGAACTGCAAAACACGGGCCCTGATAAAACACTTAAGACAAAACAAAACAAATAAAATCTTAAAACAACAGAGATGAACCCCTGGAATTCAATACCATTTTAGGCTTCTCTTCCTTCAGTGTGAAGAGACGTTTCCACCAGCCAACAATTCGGCGACGAGATTTTACCAGATTACTGCAAATCTCATGAAATCTTTGCTGCTGTTCCGTAGTCCTTTTATTAAAGATAAAAGCCAGATATATGAATTCAATATTTCATCTGAAATTTTTAAATCTCCCACAGGATTCTTCAGCAATAAAAATTTATCCAGTATTTATCCTGGTATTTGCTTCACTTAGTTTTATACTCTCGGCATTACTCTTCCTTCATCTTATTTACTACTGCCACTCTTTCCAAACATACAATCCAACACCCTTCTTTATAATTTCAGTTCTCAGTATCTATTATTAATTACTAAACTAGTTTAGCAGAACTAACTAGCAACCTTAAAGGAGAGCAAAGAATGTATCTACCCCTTCAAAAAAAAAATCTTATTTTTCTAGAAGAAAATTAACAATAAAGATAAGTTGTAGTAGTTACCCTTTAGAAAAAGATGAATGAAGGACACCTTACTAATGTCCTCACTTAATGTATTAGAGAGTTTGCTGGTTTCTTACTACAGTCACTCTATAAAATAACCATTTTGATGAAGTTCATAACTTATTTACACTCAAGAAACCGTTTTAATTCAAGCTTTCCTCACCATTTATTAGAGCCAAAGATTCTAGGTGCAAGAGCAGGAACAAGATAGTCAGCCAAACAGAGGAACATAACGAAACAGGAGACACCTGAAAGAACTGATGGGTCCAAGTAGTAGATCATCCTGCAGGAAAAAAATAACAGAAATGATTTCTGGATGCTCAGATTAGACATATTTAGTCACCTCTTCAGACTGGCTCAGGACATTAGACCTACCATCTTGCCCAACCTCAAAAAAATTTTCAAACTCGCTCCTTTTACTAATGAAAAAGGTTTAAATACTTCAATACTATTACAAAGAAATACAGACTAAAATATACAGTTTTCTTAATGTAATTGATAAGAAAATTATACAATAGAGCAAGCATAGTATGAAGTTCAGTAGAAGTAAAAATTTATCATTACTGTTCTCTCAGAAGTTGACATCTAGTGAACTTAGCACTGACCAGGGGATGAGGATGAGTGAGTGAACATATGAGATCACCAGGTAGAATGAAAGGTCTAATCTTGTTGGTTCTTAAGTCACAGAATTCAGATCCACCACAGGTTGTCATTTGCTCTGTCTCACCTGTGAGAGCTAACCAAACCTGTTCTGGACAAGGAACCATAAATCCCCAATTAGGACAGTGTTGTGCTTCTACATATTAAGTGTGCCATCACTCAAATGCAGCAGTACGAGTACTGGACAAGAACCAGCTCATCTCCTAAGTGTCTATTAGTGCTCAGCTGTGCCCTCTGATACTTATGTGCATTTAACAGAACTTCCTGAACATTGAAGTAATGAAAGTAAATAAACGACCCAGTCCATTGCAAGGCCAGTCTTTCTATACACCTGGCACAGTGCTATTGTGATGACTGTTGAAGTTCATTTTTGATGAAGTACCAATTCAGAATCTGAAGTAGCTCCTTCTCTTTCCTCAAAGTATTACTCAACACAATATCTTTCCTGCTTATAAATCACAAAATTTATAACAGAATACCCTGAAGTTCATCTAATTACTTCTTTTAAAAGTTACTTTTCAGGTTCATTTGATTTCTATCCTCCTCACCTCCGCTGAAGACCATATAATTGATATTAGCCTGAAGACCAATTATCCCCACCTCACCTAGTTCAACATTTCTCTAACTCCCCTCTTCTCCTTACTCCAAAACCACATGCAACTGGCAAACTCCACAGCTG